GCGAGCGATCGAGCTAGCGAGCGATCGCAGCGAGCGCACGACCTAGCCTCCACCAGCCTATCTACCGATCGAGCTACCGATCTATCGATCTAGCGAGCTAGCTATCTATCTATCTATCGATCTATCTATCTAGCTATCTATCTTATCTATCTATCTATCTATCTATCTACTCTATCTATCCTATCTATCATTACCTACCTACCTATCTATCTATCTATCTATCTACCTATCTATCTATCAGGTAGGTTGACACGTACGAGGAATTTGACTTGGTGTCATGGTACTGTACATAACCTACATAAAAGTTTAAAAAAAATGTAAAACACAGATAGAGAACTATTTTAAGAAAACTATAATAACATAAAAACAAATGTATTCAAATAATTTAAAAAAATATAAAATATAGCAGTATTTACCTAGAAATAGAATGGAATTAATAGTGGAATTAAAATATGGAATAGATTTGGCAGTAATAAAAAAAGAAAACAAAGCCACCAGTTGTATGATCACTAACAACGTGCACAGAGCAGTATTTCTCTGATCTACAGCACCACACCTGAACTTTTGAAAGAACATCCATAACAATCATCTGTTTGCAACTCATATATATCAATATTCCAATTACTGTATATAGACTATTCTATTATATTCTATTTTATTTCATTTACCTGTACTATTTTATCTGTTTTATTGTGTTGCTCTGTTGGAGGAGCCTGTGACCTAAGATGTCCATTGTCATAACTACACTGTAGCTATGCACAAATGACAATAAAAAGCCTCGAAACTTGAAACAGGGTCTCACTTGTTGAACATGTTGAGTCCGATGCGGTACTGCCTCCTCTGCACCACGTCGCTGTTGAAGGGGGGCGAGTCCCAGCTGTGCCGGCACTCCCTCTGGTACGTCTGCTTCCCGAGGGGCGGCAGCGGCTCCCGCAGGCTGTCCTGGGACGAGGAGCCCGAGCTGCAGTTCACCGTCTCGTTGGAGTTGGTGGTGGAGTGTTGAGCGAGTCGTTGTCTCCGTCCGAGCAACACGGCTGCTCCAGACCTCCAGGGGGCAGCGCTGTGGAGGAGGAGGAGGACAGGGGGGGGGTGGGGGGCTGCTGGGGGGAGGAGGAGGAGGAGGGGGTGTCGGGGTACTGGTGGTGGTGGATGGGGTGGTGGTGATGGTGGTGAGAGGCCACCTGGTGGGGGATGTGAGTGGGGATGACTCTGCCTGGAGGCCGCGTCTGACCCTGAGCGGCCGCTGGCGAGGGGGGGGGCCGGGCTCCTGTGTTGGGGGAGTGTTTGAGGGTCCCCTGAGGAGACCCTCCCCCCCCCTACCGGCTCCTGCTCGTACACCAGCTGCCGGGTCAGGGAGCCGCGGTCCGAGCGGTCGCTCATGTCCACCGAGCTGTCGCTGGGCGGCTCGATGGTGAGCAGCGGCAGGTGGGCTCCTCTCAGACGGTAGTCCCGGCACTCGGTGCAGGGGGTGCTGCGTCTGCTGTTACCGCTGCCCCCCCCCCTCCGTGTCCCGGCTGTCCTCACGCCCGCTCACCCCCCCGCCGGGGCCCCAGTACTCTGTGTCCGTGCTGCTGGGGCCCCGGTCCAGGGACAGCGGGGAGGAGGGCATGCCGTCGTCCATGTAGAGTGTGACGTCGCTGTAGGAGGTGGCGGTGCTGTCTCCGTGCATGCTGAGGCCCCCCCCCCGCCCCCCGGGCGCGCCCCACCGCCCCCCGTTGGGAGGACGGGTTGCTGCTGCTGCTCCACACACACTCCTCAAAGTCCTCGCTGAGACCCCCCCTCTCCCTGCTGCCCTCCTGGGAGTCATCGCGACCCGCGCGGCAGGTGAGGGCGTCGTCTATGGAGTCGGCTAAAGACTTCACCTGGAGGGGGCGAGGAGGAGCAGGTCAGCAGACTGACTGGGTTTAGCTCATTTATTTACGTGTTTAATAATACAAAATAGTTTGTGTGGAGTAAGCATGAAGTTGATAATGTAATGCGACAATTTCAAGAAAACGGGGATTGATTTTTTTAAAGGAACAATGAATGGAGTTCTTTATCCCGACTTGTTATTACAACACATTTACTATTTATCTTGGATCAAATAAAGTTCCATAGCAGCAAACATGTTGTTATATTTGACTGGCCAAGGTTCAGCTACCAGGTGTGTTTTTGTTGATGCACATTACAAAGAGTGTGTATAGACGTCACCTGTTTGGAGAAGGAGTCCTCCAGGTGTGTGTAGTCTCCGGGCCGGTCGGGGTCTGGGGAGTGGGGGGGTCCGATGGCCACATTGTGGGTGAAGCTGGTCTGAGTTTGGGCCTGCTGCTGCGGCTGCCGCTCATCGAAGGAGTACTGCAGCCTCATGTTGGACAGGATGATGCGGCGCGTCATGCGGCTCTCTGACGCCGAGCTGCGCAGGCGCTCAAAGTTCTTGTTCATGCGATACTGTCTGAAGGCCGTCTGGATGATCCTCGCTGCTCTGCGACTGACGAAGGAACCGCCGTACTTCCTCTCCAGCATCTCCACCTGGAAGAAGGGGGAGGAAGAGAAGATTGAGGAGAAGGAATCCATCATCTGCATAATGTTCACTGGGGCTCAAAATCCAGACTTAAAAATCTTACTTAAGTCAGAACGTTGAGATTTTCTGAAAAAGTCAGAATGTTGAGATTTTCAGAAAGTAGTCAACATTTTGAGATTTTCACAAAAATGTCAGAAAGTTGAGAAAAGTCAGAATTTTGAGATTTTCTGAAAAAAGTCAGAATGTAAAAAAAAAAGTCAGAATGTTGAGATTTTCAGAAAGTAGTCAATTAGATTTTCAGAAAAAGTCAACATTTTGAATCAGACATTTTAGATTTTCAATAAAAAGTCAGAATGTTGAGAAAAAAGTCAGAATGTTGAGAAAAAAGTCAGCATTTTTTGATTTTCTGAAAAAAGTCAGAATTTTGAGAAAAAAAGTCAGAATTTTTAGATTTTCTGAAAAAGGTCAGAATTTTCAGATATTAAAAATAAGGTCAAAATAAATAGTCAGAATTTTGAACATTTCTGGAAAACGTCAGCATTTTGTGGTGCTAGGTATGCAGGACGCCTAGGCAAAATAAAATAGACATCACATCTTTCTTCCAACTAATTATATTTAAAACTTGCACCTGTCCTTACCCTCCATTCACTTGAGTAAATGTACTTAGTTACCTTCTTATCCTGCAGGTCAGTGGAGAGCTCGTAGCTGTCGGACAGCGCCTTGCACCTCTTGTTCTCCTCCTCCTCCTGCTTGCGGAGGGCCAGGCTGGCGGGCTGGTGGCGGCTCCGCAGGGCCCAGGCCAGGCTCGCTGAGCTGGGGCCCGACACGAGGGAGGGGTCCCTAGAGCCGGGGGCCACAGGGCTGTCAGAGTACCGCTCAGACCCTCGCTGGTAGGGGGTCTGCTGGATGAAGGAGACGTCTTTACGGGGGCCCGTCTCTGGAGGATCCCCCTCCACACTGCAGGGGAAAGAAGCTGTTAGTGGTGAATAGGGTAAAAAAAAAGAACTGGTAGATATCACAATGAAACTTACCCAGTTGATTACTTACATTAAGACAATTATTTTTTGTATTGGAAGTTGTTGACATATTAAACTCAAAGGCTTTTACAAAGGTAACTTTAACTTTTTATCAGTCCAAAAAACAGATTGTGAAATTCAGACACTACAGGTGAAATGGTGAAGAATTTAATTTATAGTTATCAAAATGAAACTTACCCAGTTGATTAATATACTAAATAATCGTTTTTAGTATTGGAAGTATTTTGAAATTGTAAGTTTAAATATGCAAATAATGCATTTTAGTATAACATATGTGCTGATTTGCAAACACTTCCAGAACAGAAATGTGAGTATTGGATAAAGCCAGGTTCAAAATCCTTGTTTTTAAAACCCTTGTTTAATTTTGTTGACATATTTGTTATGACCCTGGGTCATTAGGTCATTTGTGTGTGGATATTTCCCCTCCTCCTGTGAGAGTCAGTGAAGGTTTCTCATTTCTCTAATTCCCCTCCTTGACTCCTATCCTCGTGTCTTAGTCCCGCCCACAGGAGATGCGAGCGGAGGAGTCGAGGAGGGGAACCGAGGAGAGGAAATGAGAGAATTGAGAAACCTTCTGTGTGTGTGTGTGTGTGTGTGTGTGTGTGTGTGTGTGTGAGCAAGCAGGTGGTGCCCGTTAGCTGATTGGCTGCCTGCAACATGCTGATTGGTCCACCTGAAGAGACAGGAGCATTTAAGCTGCCATGCAGTTCCTCTGCCCTATCTCTCCTAATTAAAACTCCTATCCTCGTGTCTTAGTCCCGCCCACAGGAGATGCGAGCGGAGGAGTCGAGGAGGGGAACCGAGGAGAGGAAATTAGAGAATTGAGAAACCGTGTGTGTGTGTGTGTGTGTGTGTGTGTGTGTGTGTGTGTGTGTGTGTGTGTGTGTGTGTTGTGTGTGTGTGTGTGTGTGTGTGTGTGTGGTGTGTGTGTGTGTGTGTGTGTGTGTGTGTGTGTGTGTGTGTGTGTGTGTGTGTGTGTGTGTGTGGTGTGTGTGTGTGTGTGTGTGTGTGTGTGTGTGTGTGTGTGTGTGTGTGTGTGTGTGTGTGTGTGTGTGTGTGTGTGTGTGTGTGTGTGTGTGTGTGTGTGTGTGTGTGTGTGTGTGTGTGTGTGTAAGCAGGTGGTGCCCGTTAGCTGATTGGCTGCCTTCAACATACGTGTCACAGTATCACCTCAAAATACAAGATACGAAACATTTTCAACCGTGCAACAAAATATAAATAGTCCTACAAATATTTTAATTTTATTTCCTTCTTATTTTTGTCTAAGCTCAAGGGAGCCAGAGTAGAGGGCTTAAAGAGCCGCGGGTTGCCGACCCCTGCCCTAGACCTGGGCGTAACATATTAGAAGAAAGGGTTAAAATAAAAGGTAACTTTACATTTTACAGTGGTAACTTTAAATATGTTCTTTAACCAGTCCAAAAACAGAAAAACACATTTTTTTTAATATAATGTTCACTTCATACACTACAGGTAAATAGGGTTAAATGTAACTTTTAGTACTCACAATGAAACTTCCCCAGTTGATTACTGACATTAAGACAATTAGGTTTTGTATTGCAAGTTTTCTGAAATGTAATGTTTAAATATGCAAATATACATTATAATATGAAATATGTGCTAATTTGCAAACATTTCCAGGCCAGAAATGTGAACAATTCTTGTTTCATTTTGTTGACATATATAGGTATCTTTAAATATTTTGAATATACTGTACATGATAGGTGGTTAGGGTGAAACATTTAACGACATATCACCATGAAACTTCTCAATTTCATTACTGACATTAAAACAATAAAATCATACTATTAGCACGAGGGAAGTTCCATCATCCTGGAAGGTGGCCACCGATCTTTAAATCTGGGGATAAGGCAATAATGTCCAATTATAGACCAATCAGCATCCTCCCCTGTGTCTCTAAGGTAGCTGAGAAATGGGTGTCAAAACTAATCACCAAACATTTAGACAAAGGTTTCGCTCCACTCCACCCAATGCAGTTTGGTTTTCGTGCTCACCACTCCACTGAGACAGCTAACTGTGTCTTTGTGGAAAAGGTTAAATGTGTGTTGGACACAAGCCCATATGTAGGTGCTGTCTTCCTTGATCTCAGGAAGGCTTTTGACACTGTTGACCACCAAGTGCTCCTTACAAAGCTGACTCATTTCACATTTTTCGGCAGATTCAATACATTGGTTTAAGTCTTACTTATCGAACAGAAAACAGTGTGTTTTGGTCAACGGAGCCAAATCCCCCTACCTTGTGAACCCAGTTGGGGTTCCACAAGGTTCCATTCTTTGACCATTACTGTTTTCTCTGCACATTAATGACTTGCCTAATGTATGTCCTGAGTTGAATGTACAAATGTATGCCGATGATGCGGTCATCTTTGTACACAGGAAAAACACTGAAATGATCTCATCCTGTCTCTCAAATAATTTGGACAAAGTTCAACACTGGCTGATCAACATTTGCTTGCAGTTAAACGTAAAAAAACCAGTATGCATGATGTTCAGTAAACGACCAGTCAAAATCGAAGGATCCAATGTGTTTTTAAACGGAGCAGAATTAGAACTAGTCCCCCACTTCAAGTATCTTGGAGTCATACTGGACTCGAACTTGACTTTTAAGAAACATATTAAGAAAGTATCCAATACCATTAAATTCAACTTGCAACATGTTAAACAAATTAGACCTTTCTTAACTGTCAATGCTGCAAAGTCATACCTCCACTGTATGATTCTATCCCACATTGAATACTGTTTGACAAACTGGTCGTTTGCTTGTGCCACAAACCTGAAACCAATAGAACAGCTGTACAAGAGAGCTATCAAGGTGTTTGACAGAAAGCCTTATTCATACCACCACTGTACCATCCTTGAAAAACACAATTTCTTGAGTTTTGACCATTTTAAGTCTTTTAAAAGTATGTGTTTTTTTTATTAATGTTTACATGGACTGCCCCCCCCCCCCTCCCTTAGGGGAATTCATCCACAAAAAACACACTGGACGCTGCACTAGGTCAGAAACCAGAGGAGACTGTGAGGTCCACCGTAGACGGACCACTTTTGGACAAAATGTCCTTTCCATTAAAAGGCAGCTCATTGTGGAATAGCCTCCCAACTGAGTTACGGGATTGTCTCAATAGCTTCAAAGGTCAACTCAGAGAATGGTTGAGAAACAACCAGATGTGCAATCACCGCCAAATGCACTTTAACACAGGGGTAACTCCTCTTGCAGTCTTTATGTATCTCTTGTATCCTCTCTTGCACTTTATATGTCGTTGCTGCTATATTGTATTACCATGTCTTAATACTTGTGTATGCTGCTCTTGCTCTTTTGCACTTTTTGCACATCATGTATTTTGTTTTTGCTATGTTTGTAAAATGTAATTTTCTTAAATGTTTTATGTGAGGGACTGCGGATGGAAATGAGCTCAAAGGTAAATCTGGCACTGTTACGCTTGACACATTTTAATGAGAGACAGAGACATAAGAGACAGGAGCATTTAAGCTGCAGCCATGCAGTTCCTCTGCCCTCTCTCTCATCGAGCTCTCCTACTCCCAACTCCGTGTCTGTTGTAGAAAACCTGATCTATTGTTCTGTGTGGTTAAATCTAACGATTACCGGTCCTTTTGTACATTTTGGTATCTTTGTAAACTAATTTAATCTGTCTTGAAAGACACGCTTTGCTTTGCCCAGGAGTGCGACACCCTTTTATTTTGTTCAAATCCAGTTTTTTCGTTAGGCTAGGTAAGAAGCCTGTATTTTATTTTACTTATTTTGTTAGGCAAGATTTATGTATGCGCAGGGTTATTTGTTTATGTGGGTTGTCTCGCCTCCTTTAAAAACAAACCGGTAATTAAAATGAAAGGCATTTTTCTGTCTCATTGTCCATTTCTTGGGAGTGGGAAGAGTGGGGAGAGTGCAATTGTGTGCTGCGCCTAGGTTCCCCTAGACTTGGGCGTAACATATTAGAAGAAAGGGTTGAAATAAAAGGTAACTTTACATTTTACAGTGGTAACTTTAAATATGTTCTTTAACCAGTCCAAAAACAGAAAAACACATTTTTTTGAATATATTGTTCACTTCATACACTACAGGTAAATAGGGTCAAATGTAACTTTTAGTACTCAAAATGAAACTTCCCCAGTTCATTACTGACATTAAGACAATTAGGTTTTGTATTGCAAGTTTTCTGAAATGTAATGTTTAAATATGCAAAAATACATTATAATATGAAATATGTGCTAATTTGCAAACATTTCCAGGCCAGAAATGTGAACAATTCTTGTTTCATTTTGTTGACATATTAGAGGGAAATGTTAAAATAGAGGTCTCTTTAAATATTTTGAATATACTGTACATGATAGGTGGTTAGGGTGAAAAATGTAACGACTAGATATCACCATGAAACTTCTCAATTTCATTACTGACATTAAAACAATAGGTTTTTGTATTACAAGTTTTCAAAAAAAAAGGATGTTAAAAATGCAAATGAGGCCTGAATGAAACCTATACAGACACAAATTCACAAAGGTACCAAAACAAAACCTAAAAGTGCATTCTGGGTGTTTTCTTTCCACCGGTCTGAAGGAAGCAAAATACCAGATTCCCCAAATTGACCAGTGCCTGTAAAACATGTTTGTGCCTGCAGTGTCGTCTTCAGAGCTGGAATAATAAAAAAGGGACTTACTTGTAAAGTTTAGTGCGCCGAGTAGTTAACTTTATCCTTCTGGAATTCATGGTGAACTTTTGACTCAAAGCCGTGCTAAAGATCCGAACACATTCCTCGTCTTCCTTATAACTCCTTATTTTATAGTCAGAATATGAGTTAATAGACTACCAAAGGTTATTTACTGCCTCTCACTGTCTTCCAGTCCCACTCAGTGTGTCTTTATCTGGCAAACACTGTAGTAAACACGG